AAGGGAGTAAATTCCAATCTTTAGAAAGTGTATACACTGAGGCTCTTTGTTTCCCAACAATGCCTGTTTTTAAGTTCTTCACATTCATGTTTGATGACTAGTAAGTCCCTGGGAAATGGGAAGAGAAAGAGAGCATTGAGTTTCTTGAAAGTTTGCTGCTGAAACATGAGTTCAAGGGTGAAAACATATTTTCTTCCTCTCTGAATGATACAATTTTGAAAAAATAAACTCCAAGTCTTAATCTTTATAGGTAGAAGACAACTGTATGTTACCAGTTACTACTTTCTTTTCTTTTTATATTAGAATAATTAGAAATAGTTTATCTTAACTTGAGCAGACCAGCATATATTAAAGTCTACCATAGAATCTACTATTTGACCTGAGTATAGATTTATTTATGTGCAAGACATGATGTTAGGTATTGGTGATATTAAGAGATACAATACAACCTAATTCCTGCCTTTACAGTGTAGTTGAAGAGAGAAAGAAAGACACATGGGGAGAGTGGGAGAAGGGGAGAAAGAGAGACAGAGAGACAGAAACAGAGAGAGACAGAGACAGACAGACAGACAAAGACAGAGACAGAGACAGAGAGACATAGAGAGACACAGAGGAGGAGGAGGAGGAGAAGATGAAGAAGAAGAAAGAAGGAGGAGGAGGAGGAGGAAAGATGGAGGAGGAAGAAAAGGGAAAGGAAGAGGAGGAAGAGGAGGAGGAGGAGGAGGAGAGGAGGAATGATAACTGACAATCTAGAGGTTTTGAACCTGAATGATCTAAATAAGGGGGATGCTTCTACAGAAATAGCGAAGCTTGGAAGATGGGCAGATATGGGAAGGGTAAAATATTGAGTTCTGTTTTAACATATTGAATTTGAAATTCTTATGGGCATCAAGGTGGAGGTTTCCAGCAAGAAATGAGTGATGCAATACTGGATCACAAGAAGGAAATTAGAGCTGGATATACGGACTTGAGAGGTATCTGCTTAGAAATGAGAACTGAACTCATAGCAGCTGTATGAGATCATGAAGAGATGGGGAGGTTGGGCAGGTAGGTGGCGCAGTGGATAGAGCACTGGCCCTGGATTCAGGAGGACCTGAGGTTCAAATCTGGCCTCAGACACATAATACTAGCTGTGTGACCCTGGGCAAGTCACTTCACCCCATTGTCTAGACAAAAAAAAAAAGAGATGGGGAGGAAGAAGAACAAGGAGGTGATAAACTTACAAACAAAATGTAGATTCACTCAGCTTGTAGGCCTGCTTTGTTTCATTGTGTCAAAGCTTGTGTTTTATTTTTAAAATTATAAATGTAAAGGAATTTCAAATAATAGAATTTGCATAATTTGTATATTCTAATGGTATATGGTTATATAATCTGACATATATTATGTGGCAAAGGCATATAGTTTATGTGTAACAAATAGAAAAGATTTATATGTCCAGCATAATGCATCATTCAACATTTTCTAAGTTCTCCCACTTTTGTGGGAGAAGATCTGTACATGGAATTTATTTTATGAAGCTATGGGATATCTGTGCCCTTAGTTTGTGGAATTAGGTTGTCAGGGTCAGCCATGACTTAAATCGTAGGAGAACCAGGCAAGAGCAGTGTCACAGAAGTCAAGGAGATGGAGTCTAGGAGCAAGTTAACAGCCGTGTCAAAAACTTAAGATATTAAGGAGATTGAGATCTGAGAAAAGACCATCAGATTAGGAGGTAACAACTTGGAGAGAGCAGTTTCAATCAAGTGGTGGGGTCAGAGCTTAGTTGCAAGTTTAGTCTCTGTGGCCAAAAATAGTGGCTCATTATCTGATGGCAAGCAATGTCTCATCTCTGGTTGAAGCAGCTAGGTGACAGACACAATGGATAGAATGTTGGACTTGAAGTCAGGAAGACCTGAGTTCAAATCTTGCTTCAGATACTTACTAGTTGTGTGACCCTGGGCAAGTCATCAACCTCTTTCAGTCTCAGTTTCCTCATCTGTAAAATGGAGATAATAGTAGCACCTACCTTACTGGCTTGTTGTGAGAATAAAATGAGATAATATATGTAAAGTGCTTTACAAACTTTAAGTACTAGATATTATTATTAATCATTAGTCTTTCTGAATTTATCCAGGCCAGTCCTCATACAGTAGGCATATAGTCCATCCCTGGTGCCATACTTAAAACTTTTCTGGTTTAGTAAAATCTCTTAAGTTTTGTACTCCATTGCATAGCTCTCTGGATCACCTTCATACCAGATGGGGTGTGGCACTTATTAATTCAAAAAATGAGGGTGGGTAGGTAAATGAGGAGATGAATTTTATTTTTTTGAGGATTCTGGTGTATAAAATCATTCTTGTTGTATAATGTATATGTGATAAAGCAGTGAATCTGGAAAATGACCTGGTAGACTTACAGAATGCTAATAGCTACAATTTTGCATGCTTGTATTCTAGTGAATCAGCCACTTTATCTTTCCTAGCTGAAGATAATAGGAGAGGGGGAGAAATATATCTTAATGTCTTTTTGGCTCGAAAAATTGACTTCTGAGTTGGCTTGAAAATCTTTCTATATTTCTTCATTGTTCACATCTAAGGAAAGAGATTCTACAAGCTGAAAATAACTTTCTATATAAAAACCATTTTAGAAGCAACACATGACTTTCTCCAAAGACTTTAGATTTATGACAATGGAAAAAAAAATCCTCTCTCAGAATGTTCACCGATCCCAAAGGATGGATCCACCCCATGTACTGGGAAAGAATTGAAAGGTTATTAATAAGCACGAGCACAGAATCCAAAATGATAAATGACCATGCTAAAGTAGGAAGAAGCTTCCTTGGGGAAATGCATTGAAAGATCATTAGATTTAAGAGTGATAGGAATTCACTTCCTGGCTCTGATATTCATTAGCTTGGTGATCTTGGCAAATCACTCAGTCTCTAAGTATGTGTTTCTTTATTTATAAATAAAAGAGTTGAATTAGTTGATTTTTAAAGGTCCTCTGGTTCTAAATCTTGTTATCTGTTTAACTCCAGTACCTTATCAGAGTGTGCTAGTAGCCTTTACTTCTTGAAACTTATGTCAGCAAGATCTAGCAAGTCAACGCTGGAAAGGCTTATCACCAGAATGTTGACTATCTGGTGATTTTCTTTTTTGGGGGGGTGGGGTGGGGCTCAATAATTGATAAAAAAAACCCCATCGTGTAGCAGTTCTTGGGACAGGATTGGAAAGCTCTTTTCTATCTTTTCCATAAAAATAATACTGATCATATCTGTAACTTTTAAGTGCAGGAGGTTTTTTGTTTGTTTATTTTGTTTTTGGTGAAGCACTTAAGTGCCATCTTGGAAGATTCTCTGTCCTAATTGTAGAACTTGCACATTGACAAATCTAAGTTAACCAGACAGTTTAATTTAGGTCATGAAAAAAAAGAGCACTTATTACCTAACCTTTTCCCACCCCACCATTTATTCATTTTCAGTAAATTTTTATTTAGCTCACATTCTGTTCAAGGTACTGTTTTAGGCAGTGAAGAGGATACAAAGACAAAATGAAATGCAGTTCTTACCCTCAGGGAGCTTACTTTTCTACTCAAGGGTCATGAGAATAAAATGGATACCAAAGTAATATAAAGTAGAATGTGAACGTTCATGAGAAGCATAGTGTTATGGAACCTGACAGAAAGGAGGCCACTTTTCTGGCTAGGCTGGGGTGAAGGGAAAGATCAAAGAGAGTTACAAACAAGAAAGGTTTTGGGGAAGGCAATATTTTTTCACCCAGGATATCAAAAAAGAAGGGAATTTTGAGGTCTCCTGCTGGATGCATGAATCTCCTCTGTGATATCCTTGACAAACGGTTAGTCTGTTCTTGAGCACCTCTAGTGGTGAGTAATTCACTGCCTCATAAAGCAAACCCATTATATTTTTTGGATAGCTCTAATTGTTAGAAAGATCTTCCTTATCTGAAATCTGCCTGTCTGCTCCACTTCCCCAGAATGGTCCTAGATCGCCCTTCTGACACAACACAGAAGTTTAATTGTTTCTCAAAACCAGTTGGGATTGAGACTGTAGTGACTTTCATATTGTACAACGAATGAAAGCATTCGAGATCCTGGGTAATTAAGAATAAGTATGTTTTGTGGCAGTTTATTTCAATCTAAAAAGAGTTTATTGAGCACTTCCTATGTGCAGAGTGAGAGACAGCTTGGCATATTGGATGTCTATCTATCTGTCTCTCTGTCTGTCTATCTTCTATGCCAGCCTTAGAATCAAGAAGCCTGGGTTCTAGTTGTGCCACAGGACACATACTAGCTGCATGATACTGGGCCATAGCCAGTTTTTAAAGACTATCCCACACTGATGAAATCACAGTACCAGAATAAAGGTGGGGCACTGGTGGTTGTGCACAGAATGCGTGGTGTGTTGTAGCGCCCTACTGACCCATGGTCTGCCCAGTCTCACATCTCTGCCTTAGATATTGTGGCACCAGGGGAGGAACTCAGGATAGATAACCTCTGCCTGGACTACTTCCTTAAGACAGTAGCTAATTGTCACAGAATATCACACGTATTTCCAAAGTAATGGGAAAAGGAAATGATTTGCTTCTAGAGTCTTTGGCCCAACTTGAATATATTTTTGTTTTTCTGTTCTCAGATAGTACTTCAATTATAATTGATAGGTCTGAACCATAGCCTCTACCCCTGTTAGGGAAGGACTTAAGGGACGTGCTGGTAAATATTTAACAATAGTTTCTTGTGAAAAAATATGTAGCATGATATACAAGTTTAATCTGTAGAATGGATACACTCCCAAGGAGTGGTAGGAACCTCAAATTTGTCTGGTTTTAGATAGAGAAAAGGCATGGTAATGGCTAAGGTTGAAACTCCCAACTCCCAGTGAAGCTTTTGTATTTGTGGATTTCAATGATCAGTGCGATCTCAGTATTCCTCATTTTCATGAATTGAGTTGTGTGCCTTTATCACTGGTGCATTAATGGCTCTTGTTTTTTTTTCCTTCACAGTGGCTTGCTATCCTCTGATTATGTAGAGATTCATTATGAAGATGGAAAACCACAGTACTCTAAGGTATGGTTAAAAAAATCAAGGTGGGCTATTTCTGGATGAAAAGTCTGCTTTGGCACAGCTCAATAAATACTTCATTTGTCTATACCAGGCAAAGGGGCTTCTCCTCTTATCCATGTACAAGAATTGCTTCCTTCTCTAGTTAATGAATGGTTGTTAGTATCAGAAGTATAAACAGCATCCACAGTTACTGTGACTAAGACTGTGAGGGATATATTCCTTTTCTTAGCTGAGCTAATAGTAAAAGGTAATATATGAATGTACCTTGTTCTAAAATATGTTCTATTAGTTGTCTGTACGGTGAGTTTAGGGTAAATGGATGGTTTGATGAACTAAAAAGCTAAACAACAGAGACTCAATTCAGGTACACAGAACAGTTGTGATAGACTTTAAATAATAGAGTTAGAAGAGACTCCATGACCATTTTAGGCCACCTGCCTTATTTTAAAATGAGGACATCAGGGCAACATAGGATAATTGATTTGTCTATGGTCTTGTTGGCAGAGTTAGAAATAGAAATAGGTGTCCTAGGAGGCTGACAGTAGTTTAGGTAAGAGGTGACAATGGTCTGAAATAAGATAGTGGCCATGAGAGTGGAGAGAAGGTGATGAATGTGAGACATGTTCTAGAAGTAGAATGAATGGGCCTTGATGTAAGCGAGAGGGAAGAGTCAGCTTTACAACAGGTACTCCAGGTGATCATCATTGTCAAAAGCTGTAGGGACAAGTCAAAGAGTTAGATAACAAATGAGAAAATAAGAACAAATAACAAATAAGAAAAAGAAAAGTCCAATGGATTTGGTAACTAAGTTTCTCTGGAATAGTGGGACCAGAAGGTAGATTGTAATGGAGTGAGAAGGATAGTGAGGAGGTAGAGGCATGAGTTTAGGTGACCATCTAGAAGTTTTACAGTGAATAGGGGAGAAAGGAAAGGGAGAGACAGAGAGAGACAGACAGAGACACAGAGAAAAAGAGAGACAGAGACAGACAGAGACAGGAGATGGCAGGGTTTAGGAAATAATTTTTAGTAAAGGAAGAATACAATATGCTTTTAAACAGGGAAGGAGCAAGTAGCTGGAGAGAGATAAGAGAGAGAAGCAATGATCAGTGGGGAAGCTCCTGAAGGAGATGGTAGGAAGAAAGGAGAGAAACAGGAATTTATTAAGTGCTGACTATGGACCAGGTACTGTGCTTAGTACTTTATAAACATCTCATTTGAGCCTCACAACTCTGGGAGGTAGGTGCTGTTGTTATCCCCATTTTGCAGTTGAGGAAATAGGCAGATTGAGATTAAGTGACTTTCTCAGTATCTGAGATCAGAATTGAACTCAGGCCATCCTGACTCCCAGCCTAGCACTCTATTCACTGTGCCATGTAGGGAACTAGATCAGTACTCCAAACAGAAAACAAAATGAGGGCCCTCTCTTCCTCCAAGGGTGGAAGAGAAGAGAGAATGGGGAAAGATATAAAGGGGTTGTGAGGCATGAAGGAGGGTGGATGAGGAAGCTTTGGGAGGATTTTGAATCTCTCAGTTATGTGGGAGATGAGATCATATGCTTAGAAAAAAGGTGATTGGGGGTGTCTTTGGGAGCTTGAGGAGAACCGAGGAGGTTTGGGATAGCTTTTTTGACTAGTGAGAGTCAATCGGAGAGAATTAAAGGATTATCATGCATTAGTGAGAATCCAGTTAAGATTAGATGACTTAAATTTGTCATTTTCAGGATTTCCTCTAGCCTGATCATTCACCTAGGAGTAGTAGTGGAGAAAGCAATGTTTATTTGAAGGGTTGTCCTGTAGTCTTAGTTTCTATGAGCCCACAAGCTATAATTAGGAGTAGCTGGTGAAAGTTGAGGGTGAAGGGGGCAGGGACCTTGACTTTTGGCTTGATGTATGGAAAATCTTCCTAAAGATCTATCTGTAAGAGGAGACTGGCTTGGTGGGGAATGTCCCCTCACTAGAGATCTTTAAGTGAAGTGAATTTACTGATGATGTTTTAGGAAGATTTTTTTTTGGGGGGGATCAGAAATGCATTAGACTAGATGGCCTTTGAGGTCCTGTCCAACTCTGAGATTCAGTGATTCTGTGATGGGGGTGACTGAGGGGTAAGGATTGTCAGGGCTCATAACTATGCCAAAGACAAAGGGGTCCAGGAAATCTGGACTGGAGGACATAAACTATGAAAGGAAGAGAGTGAGGGCCAAATAGGGATGATGGACTTTGGGAACAAGGACGGTCAAAGGGACTGAAGATCACGCTAAGATTGAACCAGCACTGAGGTTTAGGAGGAGTGACCAGGAGGGAGAAAAGGAAGGAGAAGAGATTTTGACTAGGAAACAGTGTTAGATTGAAAACTGGAGAGGCTTCATTTATATATAAATTACAATTTAACTCTTAGGAATAGCTTACCAAAAAAGTGAGAGAATAAACTGTCGTTTGGCCTTTATCATTTAGTTATTAGTGCTTCCTGCACGGCTAAACTGTACCCACTGAAAACCACTTACTGAGGGGGAACAAAAAGAAACAAGGAAGTGGGAAAATAGAGGATAAGGAAAGGAGGAGAAAGAGATTAGAAAGAAGTGAGAAATGATAGCCACCAATCTAGTGCCAGCACCTTCCCCAGGTCAGACATTCAACTGCAGAAGGACTCAGGGTTAGACCACGTCCTCCCATTGAGGGCTCTTCCAGCTGAGGTCCATTAAGATCTCAATTCCAGACAGTACCAGAACATCTCACTCATTTGGTGGAACTTAGGGAAAACTAGTCTGAATCAAGGAAAAGACTGCATTGCAGTATGGTTTTTTTTTAATTAAAGATCTGTGGTTTTCTTCTTGTCAGGTAACTTAAATTAATTGGTAATGGCTTCCAAGTAGAAATCTTGTTTAAGCCTAATTAATTAGGTAAGAATTTGCAATGACTAAAATTGATTTTTGTGCAAGTCATGTACAGAGGTTCTTAAAATGTGTTCGATGCAATTAAATGTACCTGGTGCTGGGGATATGAAAACAGAAATGAACCAGTTCCTGGCTTTAAGGAGTCAACTCAGGGAACATCATGTAGACAGATAAATACAATCAAATATGTACAAAGAGAAGACAAAATAACTTTGGTGCTTTGGGAGCAAATTCATCGGAACAGATCCAGTAAGTCAATATAAAATATATACAAATAAAACACATTAAGAATTAGTAGACAAATAAATAGAAAGCAACTTTAGAGACGTGGAAGAGCACTGACAACCTGGGTGATTAGGAAAGGTTCTGCGTAGGGGGGGAGCTAGGGATTCCAAGAGACTAGGTGGTGATGGAGAGTATTCCAAGCATGAGAGACAGAATGAGCAAAGGCAGAGCCTAGAGATGCATTGCTGCGAGTAGATTAACCAAGCACCTGAAGTATTAGTTAATTCCCTTATTTGATTAATTTAAAGCCTGTTTAAAGATAAATTTTAGTTCAAATCAGGTTGAATAATGAAAAAATTAGGAATAAGTTGAGCCCTCATTAGTAAGATTTTATTATATTCTGCAGTGGTCTTTCCAGGGCACTAAGTGAGAATAGCTGATGATGATGATGATGATGATGATGATGATAAAGTTGATGATAATAATAATAGCTGAATAAATGTCATATATTGTGTAATGAATTACATACATGTTATATATTACATATTATAACTTTAAAATTTATAGGATGTTTCACATATGCTTTAGTGTGAGGCTTTGATTTTCATAAAACTGTGAAAAGAGTAATTCTACATTGCTATTGCAGTATTGCTGAGAATATGATTCTCATTTTGTTGATGGAGAAACCAAGGTTTAAAGAACATGTGATTTTCTCCCACTTATAGTTAATATGTGATAGCTAGAATTCATCTTCTGCTTTCAAATCTTGCATTCTTCCCAGTATCCTGTGCTTCCTCTCACCACAGCTCTGCAGGGAAAGGAATGTGGCTTATCAAAAATACTAAATTTTTTCCCAGATTGCTAACTAATACCAGTATAACTGGGTGATTATTTATTGTATGAGGTTGAATGGAAATTTATATGTTTGATTCTTAGAATTAGTAGCTCAACTAAGAGAGTCAGTGTGGTGGAGTGAACAGAGGACCAGCCATGGAGTCAGAAGGACCAAGTTCAAGTTTTGCCTTTGACATATCTTAATTGTGACCATAGGCAAGGCTATAAGTTACATCTTATAATCTGCATCAACAGAGAAATTTTCCACATTGTGAATTTCTTAAACTCACTGAACTGAGATTTCATCAATTTGTATGTTCTAAATAATACCCAGGTAACTCCTGCCTTTCAGGGAATATCTGAATTTCCAATGAGTATCTTTTACCTTATAATTAAGAACAGATTTCTGAAATTTCCAGTGGGTGGTTGGCATTGAAACTTAGTGTATAAATGACAGATACTCATGTGTTGCATTGCAGTTTCCCATCCCCCCACCACTGGAAGATAAAAAAGAAGTTTCCTTGAGACTCTAAGATTTTGTTTAGCATCCCTAAAAGTTAACATTATGGAATGTGAGCAGAAATTCTAAACCAGGCAAGATAACAGTCCTTCTTGGCACTTCTGCAAACCAGAGCCTCCCTCCCTCCACTGTGCCAGCAGCAGTGAGCACTGCGGTTGCTGAATCATGAGTCTTGAGTAGAAAGGATTGTACAGAAACTTTATAGACTCAGCAAATGGTCTGGCCACCTTGGCATGCTGCAGTAACTGGATCCAAACTTCATGGAGGAGAATTTCTGAGTCAATTGATTTGGAAACAGGACCTAATTGGCCTCTAGAGGTCATCTGGGTCCACAAAAGGGAGAATTTATCATAAGGAAAACTTTGGAATGTGGCTACTCATTGAAACAAAGAATTTTCTGACTGTGGCAATAAGCCATCTTTTAGCAGCCTGTCTGACACAACTCAAGTTTTTCATTCACTGCTTTGTTCTTCTGATAACAACCCATATAGATTATTTGCTTTACCTCTTACATGATTGGGATATTTGCATTCT